GTGGATGGGTGATGGATAGATGGGTGGGTGGGTGGATGGATGGGTGGGTTGGATGGATGGGTGATGGATGGAAGTGTGGGTGGGTGGATGGGTGGGTTGGATGGATGGGTGATGGATGGATGGGTGATGGATGGATGGGTGGGTGGGTGGGTGGATGGATGGGTGGGTTGGATGGATGGATGGGTGAGGATGGATGGAAGTGTGGGTGGGTGGATGGATGGATGAATGGATGACATAGCTGTAGGCCACATGTGGATGTTGCTATAATGTTGAGTGGTGAAAAGCAAAGCCCAGAAGATAACCCAGAGCAAATTACTCTGATAGAACATCCTGAGGAGAATAAAACTAAGGAACAGGCTGCTTAAGCATAGAGATGTGATGAGAATTATTTTTAAGATGCCAAGGAATAACAAATAGATAATTCACCTAAGTGATTGCCTCAGTGTGGGAAGGCAAGGGAGAGGGAGAAGCTTAGATAAGTCGGGCCTGGTGGTGGCTGTGTCACATGTAATGCAGCCCCAATAGGAGTGAGTGGTAGAGGAAGACGAGAAGATGGGAAAGTGGGTAGATGGATGGGTGGACGGATGGTTACACAGAGTACAGGAACGCATGTAGGTAGATGATTGGTGGAAGGCAGGCAGGCAGGCTCCCGGTATGTGGCCTTTACTAAGCTGTATCACATTTGAACACAGTCCCACGGCCCTAGGCTGCCGGGTCCATCTACCCTGACCCTACCCCTAGAGCATCTGGTCCCATCCGTGAGCTTCCAGCCATCCCTGCGATACAAGGGGCCACTGAGAGGCCAGAGAGTCCTCTGCAGAAGGGGGCTGATGTCCAGCCTGTAGGGACCCTGCCCCAGTACCCTAACCACTACCTACCTGTTCCCTTCTAGCTCACAGGCGAACTTCAGCGCCGGAGTCCAGTCATAGGCCCCAGGCTCCTTCTTCAGCCACTTGGCCAGCTCCTCCCGGTTGCGGTCAGTGAAGTCGGAGAGAGTGATGTCTTTGAAGGACTCGCAGGCAGCGAGGACTTGATAGATGGTGGGGCCCGAGCCGATGTCAATCAGTGTGTCCCCTTGGAGGCCGCCTGTGAGAGGAAAAGGGGTCTCAGCGATAGACGAGGAGACCTAAGACAGAAGATGAGGGGGACACACACCCTGGTCTTGCCGTCCGGGGAAGAGACTCGAGCATGGCACTTTGGCACTTATCATGGCTGGGCAGCCTCCTGTCGGCCAAGCCCCACGCCTAATGTCTCATACGCATTCATTTACACTTACACCTCAGAACCTCCCTGCAGATCAACCACCATGGTTATTTCCATTTTACAGATTTGAAAACTGAGGCTGACAAAGGTTACAATGAGCCCAGCATCTTCTAGCCAGCACATGAGCATCTTGCTCCCCAGAGACCAGGAGCTCCAGGCCCTGCACTGGGGGACAACCAGGCTGGAGTGCTCCAAGCATCCATCCTGGGGAACAGTGGCCCCTCAAGATGCAGGCTAATGGGGGCTGAGGCATGTCCAGGCCTGAGCAGGCAGGCTCCTGGAAAGAGGACCAGGACCAGGAAGCGGAGACTGAGGGGGCGGCAAGTTGGGAAGACCCCAAGGGTGAGTTGAGGGTTGCCTGGCAGCTGGAATGAGGTCCCTCTGCAGGCTGGGTTTGAGCTCCCTGCTGGAGGGTCCACACGCAGCCAGGCTGTGCTGTGGTTCCTGCCTCCCCCACCTGGCTCCAGCAGGCTCTCAGCCCCTGCTTCCCCCACCACCAGGAGACTCAGCCTCGCTGCTCCCCAGTCCAGCACCCAAAGGGAGGACGCGGCTGTGCACGCTGGGAGGGCAGGACCGAGTCGCTGGGCCCCCACGATGAGGGACAGGGGTTAGTGCAGGAGGCAGGTAGAGATGGGCCAGTCAAGGCCCCTGGGCCTGCAGGCCAGGCCAGCAGGCTTGCAGCAGGGCGGGGAGCCCACCCAGCATTGCCGACTCCCCAGCCGGGCTTCTCCAGGCCATGGGCAGAGCCAGGTGAAGGCTGTGCACTGCAGGGCTGGGGCTACCCGTACCCCACCACAATCCCACTGTTTGCTCTTGGCCTCCACAGAGCCTCGGGGGCCTGGCTGTGCAGGGACAATGCTGGACTTGAGTCTTCCCGGTCCCACCCTGAAGATCAGGGACCCATGGAGAGCAGCTTGGGGACCGCTAGGTGCTGTGCCCTGCCCACTGTGTGCCCTGATTTGCGGCAGGCAGACAACCAGCAACCCAGCACCCAGAGAGGGCAGTGGCCTGCAGCTCTCCCCACTCCACTGCACCCTGTAGCCCCTAGAGGGGCGGAGGTGCCCTGGGACACATTCTCGCCGCCCCCCACCCCCACCCCGGGCCCTGCAGAGAAGAGGGGAGGCTCACCAGGGCCGAAGGTCTTGTGCAAACACTCCAGGTTAAATTTGAGCATCTCCGCCTCAGGCGAGGGGCCGCTCTGGAAGCTGTAGTAGGTGTTCAGGTAGTCCCTGGGCAGGAAGTGCTTCTGGTACTCATCACCCCCCGTGAAGCCGCCCTCCATGGTGGTCCTGGGTACACCCTCGCCTGCCTGTCCCGCTCTTATGAGGGCTCCCAAGCTCCAGACTCCGCCCCCAGAGTCCCAGCCTCATCTCCTGGCTCCTCCTACATCCACTGGTCCTGGAGTTTTCCCTTTGCGGGGATGCACGAGGAGACCCAGGGACCCTCACTCAATTCCTCTGAACCCAGAGCCATGGCAGCCGGGGCTGCAGGCACCCTGGCTCTGCTTCCCTTAGGGACTGACCCACATCATCAGTGAAGCAAGTGAAAGTGGCCAGCCCTGAGTTCCACTCTCACTGCAGGGTGAGCTGGGGCAGGGGTCAGACCCCTAGCGTCCCACCCACGTACCCACAGCACAGGCTGTGAGGACCAGATCAGCCTCCTGGGCACAGGTGTGGTGGGCCTGGGTAGACAGGGAGATCCCCAGCTGGTCCCCTAGTGGTCAGTGGGGCGCAGCGGGTGTCTGAGCACACCAGCCCAGGGGAGCACGGGAGGAGGAGGGCCCGGCACACAGAGCAGGACTGCTGACTCAGCAATGCAGGCAGAGTATCCTCCACTGGTGTCCGTGAATGAGCACAAGGAGGCCAATCAGAAAGCATAAACAGTCAAGGTTATTTGTGGCTGACCCATCATGTGATCCTGGGTAAGTCAATCGCTCAGGCCTCAGTGTTCTTCCCTCTAAAATGGGCACAGGTCGTTAAAAACCTCCCACAAATAGAGAAAAGCCTGGTCTCCTTTTTGGTACCAGGAAATGACTTTCACTTGGCCGCCAACCAGACAGAAATGAATCTGCTGCCCTGGAGGTCCCAGCTGCCGCCCTGGAAGTGGAAAGGACAAGAATATCTTGTTCTGCTTTAAGTAAACAAACAGCCCCACAGCCGCAGCCTGGGCCCCGGGCCGACTGGGCCCCAGTCACTCACCCCGGGTCCCAGGGTGGAAAACTGCAGTGCTGGCGTTACATAATTGGAGGAGGGTTTGGTCAAAGGACAGCGCTAAACACCGGGTGGGCAGGGCTGTGGGAGGGGAAGCCGCCAGGAGTCTGCAGCAGTCAGAGCTGTCCAAAGAAACAGAACCATATGCCGGCCACAGAGAGGGCAAGAGATGGAGGAGGAGGACCCGGCTCCCGCCGCGAGGGGGCTGCAGGCTGGAGTCGTTGCGGCTCCAGTCCAGGGGCCATCTGCCTGCAGGATCCCCACTGTCATGGAGACCATCAGGCTTGGGCTGGCTGGGTGAGGGACATTTGCATTATGGAAGGGAACCTGTCCTACTTTAAGTCCTCTGGTTTCTTTTTTTTTTTTTTTTTTTTTGATAGGCAGAGTTAGACAGTGAGAGAGAGAGACAGAGAAAAAGGTCTTCCTTTACCGTTGGTTCACCCTCCAATGGCCGCCATGGCCAGCGCACTGTGGCCGGCGCACTGTGCTGATCCGAAGCCAGGAGCCAGATGCTTCTCCTGGTCTCCCATGCAGGTGCAGAGCCCAAGGACTTGGGCCATCCTCCACTGCACTCCCGGGCCATAGCGGAGAGCTGGACTAGAGGAGGGGCAACCAGGACAGAATCCAGCGCCCTGACCGGGACTAGAACCTGGTGTGCCGGCGCCGCAAGGCGGAGGATTAGCCTATTGAGCTGCGGCACCGGCCATGTCCGCTGGTTTCAAAGTTGACCACAGCCCAGGGCTGGCATTTAGCTTAGCAGTTAAGATGCCTGATGAGGGGCCAGTACTGTGGTGTAGCGGGCAAAGCCACTGCCTGCGATGCCAGCATCCCATGTAGGCACCAGTTCAGGTCCTGGCTGCTCCTCTCCTGATCCAGCTCTCTGCTGTGGTCTGGGAAAGCAGTGGAGGATGGCCCAAGTGCTTGGGCCCCTGCACCTGTGTGGGAGACCCGGAGGAAGTCCCTGGCTCCTGGCTTCGGATCAGCTCAGCTCTGGCCACTGAGGCCACTGGGGGAGTGATCCATCGGATGGAAGACCTTTCTCTCTGTCTCTCTCTCCCTCCCTGTCTGTGACTCTGACTATCAAATAAATAAAATCTTTAAAAAAAATGCCTGTTGAGACCCTGGCTCCAGCTCTTGACTCCAGCTTCCTGCTAACCTGGACACTGGGAAGCAGCAGGCGATGGCTCAGGTAACTGGATTCCTGTAGCTATGTGAGCTCTTGTCTCCTGGCCTCAGGCTGCCCCAGTCTGGCTTTTCTGGGCACTTGAGTTGGAAGCAATGGATGGGAGCTCACTCCCTGGCCCCAAATAACTAAATAAATAAAGTTTGATCTCATCCAAAATACCCTCAGAGAAACATCCAGAATAATGATTGGCCATGTAGATGGGCACTGCGGCCCATACAAAATGAACCTGAATTGTTCCAGTGTCCAGGGGCTGGTGCAAAGGGAGCCATGATGCCCTCTGGAAAGGAGACAGAGATGAGTGAAAAGGGCCTTGTGCCACGGCCAGCAGCAGAGAAGAGCACCTCCTCTCCCACCTCCCTCCACGTCTGCCCGACCCATCCGAGCCCCAGGGGCATAGGAAAGGTCTCGAAGAAGGCTGGCCAAGGATGGAGGGCGGGCATGGATGGAGGGTGGACGTGGATGGAGGGTGGACGTGGATGGAAGGTGGACATGGATGGATAATGGCTATGTATGGAGGGTGGACATGGATGGAGGGTGGACATGGATGGATAATGGCTGTGGATGGAGGGTGGACGTGGATGGAGGGTGGACGTGGATGGCGGGTGGCCAAGGATGGAGAGTGGACATGGATGGAAGGTAGACGTGGATAGAAAGTGGACGTGGACGGAGGGTGGACATGGATGGAGGGTGGGCATGGATGGAGGGTGGACATGGATGACGGGTGGCCATGGATGGAAAGTGGCCGAGGAGAGGCACACAGCCGGTACCCAGTCTGCTGGCTTCAGTCTGCTGTCCACAGCATCCCAGCGCACGACCTGACTTTGCCTTGGCCAGGGTCCCTCACAGCACGAAGATAAGCTGCTCAAAGTCAACTCTTTTATGGAACTAATCCAAGAAAGTATAGCATTGACACTTTGGGCCAGGAAATTCCTTGTTGCAGTGGGGATGCTGCATTGTACGTTGAAGGATTTTACACAGCAACCCTGGCCTCCACCCACTAGTGCGGGCAGCCCCCATCCCCACTGTGACCGTCACCGATGTCCCCCAAGAGGCTGGGAACCGCTGTCAAAGGTTTGCCTTCATCAGTGCAGCACCATGTTGTTCATCCCGGAGCGACGTCAGTCCCTTTTAAGAACTGTGTGTTATTTTAGGCATCTTTCCCTATTGCTATCTTTTAAACAGCCTAAAGAGATTTCCACACAAGAGGACTTAACCCTTAATTGTAAGCAAATGAGCAATTTTCAAGGTACCTATTGAGAAGAGTAGGCACCTAAAAAGTCAGCCAGGAAAAAAAAAATCAGTCCCCTTGTGAGACCTGGATGGAGAGCCAGTGGTTCATTCCTCTGACAGCTCTGTTGTCTCTCTTCCACTCCGTGTGTGGGAGAACAAGCGCAGAAGAGGGAACCTGCAGGCATGAGTAAGACTTTTCCCTGGCGAACTGCTAGCCTCACTGCACTCCAAACACCGGAGTAAAGGCTAAATCAAAGGTCTTTTTAAAAGTCAACCGCATGAAGAGGTGATTGGTGCAGGAGTTAAGACACTGCTTGGAACGCCTACATCCCATACCAGAGTCCTGGGTTCATTTCTGGCTCCCGCTCGCTCCCGCTCCCAATTCTAGCTTCCTGCCTGCTGATGAGCACCCTGGGAGGCAATTTGAAGGCTCAAGTGCTTGGGTTCCTGCCATCCGCGGGGGAGACCAGGGCTGAGTTCCCAGCTCCTGGCTTCAGCCCAGCCTAGTTCCAGCTTTTGTAGGGAGTAAACTAGGGAATGGGAGCTGTCTGTCTGTCTCCTTCCTCTCTCTCTCTGTATGGGGGGAGATGTATGTCTTGAATAAATACAAATATTCTTTTTTTTTTTTTGACAGGCAGAGTGGACAGTGAGAGAGAGAGACAGAGAGAAAAGTCTTCCTTTACCGCTGGTTCACCCTCCAATGGCCGCTGTGGCCGGTGCGCTGCAGCCAGCGCACCGCGCTGATCCAAAGCCAGGAGCCAGGTGCTTCTCCTGGTCTCCCATGCCGGTGCAGGGCCCAAGGACTTAGGCCATCCTCCACTGCACTCCCGGGCCATAGCAGAGAGCTGGACTGGAAGAGGAGCAACCGGGACAGGATCCGGTGCCCCGACCGGGACTAGAACCCGGTGTGCTGGCTCCGCAGGCGGAGGATTAGCCTATTGAGCCACGGCGCCAGCCACAAATATTCTTTAAGAAGAAAAATTCACCCACAGAGGCACTGACCACTAAACACTTATTAAGACTCTGGAATTGGATTTCTAAATGTAGATAAAAGAACAGCCAAAAGGAAAAAATTAACAAATATATCACATTGTCATATTACAATTTATTCCAGAAAAGTTAAATGAACAGTCATTCTAAAAAATTAAAAAGGAGCTCGTGTTGCGGTGCAGTGGGTTAAGCCACCACCTGCAATGCTGGCATCCTATAGGAGTGCTGGTTTTGAGTCCCAGCTGCCCCCCTTCTGATCCAGCTCCCTGTTACTGCTCCTGGGAAAGCGGTGAAAGACAGCCCAAGTGCCTGAGCCATCACTGCTTCTTCCCAGGGTCTGCATCAGTAGGAAGCTGGAGTCAGGACCCAGAGCTGGATAGCAAGTGTGGGGGACTCGGATGGAGTTCTAGGCTCCTGGCTTCATCTCAGACCAGCCCTGGCCATTGCAGCCATTTAGGGAGTGAACGAGCAGATGGAAGATCAATCTCTGTCTCTCTCTCACCCTCTCCCTCTTCCTCTCCCTCTCCCTCCTCCTCCCTCTCTATAACTCTGTCTTTCAAATAAATAAAATATTTTTAAAATTAAAAGGAAAAAATTTTTTCTTCCTGTTAGAAAAATAATTTGGCATTTGTTTGCATAAATTATTTTTACTATAAGTTTTCATACCTTGACCTAGTAACCCCTTGTATGAGAATCCAATCTAAGGGCGGTCGTGGTGTAATAGGTGAAGCTGCAGCCTGCAATGTCAGCATCCCAGAGGGGCACTGGTTTGAGTCCCAGCTGCTGCACTTCCGATCCAGCTCTCTGCTAATGCTCCTGGGAAAGCTGTAGATGATGGCACAAGTGCTTGGGCCCCTGAACCCATGTAGGAGACCCAGAATAAGCTCCTGGCTCCTGGCTTCAGCCTGGCTGTATCTTGGCTGTTGCAGCCTTTGGGGAGTAAACCAACAGATGGAAGATGTCTCTCTATCTCTATCTCTATCTCTATCTCTATCTCTATCTCTATCTCTATCATCTATATCTATCTTCTCTCTTTCTTGGTCTCTGTAACTCTGCCTTTCAAATAATTTTTTTTCATATTTTATTTATTTATTTGAGAAGTAGAGTTACAGACAGTAAGAGGGAGAGACAAAGAGAAAGGTCTTCCATCCCCTGGAGCTGAGTCAATATGAAGCCAGGAGCCAGGAGTTTCTTCCAGGTCTCCCACGTGGGTGCAGGGGCCCAAGGACTTGGGCCATCTTCTACTGCTATCCCAGGCCATAACAGAGAGCTGATTGGAAGAAGAGCAGCCGGGACTAGAACCGGCACCCATATGGGATGCCAACGCCACAGGCAGAGGATTCACCTATTGCACCACAGCACCAGCCCCAATAAATCTTTTTTAAAAATCTTTTTTAAAAAAGAATCCAATCTAAAGCCAGAGCCCAAAAGACAGAAAAAAGAAAAGTAAAGAAAAGAAAAGAAAGGAAAAGAAAAGAAAAAAAAAACCCCAATGCACATGGGATACTTACTGCAGTATTATTTGCAACAACAACAACAACAAACCTGCAGCTTTGCGTTTGAACCTGATGGTTACTGCTGGTTAGGATGCCCACATCCCGCATCAGAGTACCTAGGTTTGAGTCCCACCTCTGGCTCCTGACTCCAGCTCCCTGCCAAGGTGGACCCTGGGAGGTGAGCAGTGATGGCTCAGTTATCCAGGTTCCAGCAATCCACCTGGGAGACCTGGATTGAATTCCTACCTCCTGGCTTTGGCCCAGCCCAGTTCTGGCTATTATGGGCATGTAGGGAATGAGTCGGTGGATGGGGGCACGCTCTCACTCTGTCTCACAAATGAAGTTTAAATTAAAAAAAAAAAAAAAAAAAGGCAAAAGCTTCAAGTGTGCCTGTGTACCTCTAGAGGGAGCAGTTGAGTCAGCTGTCTGTGACCTGGCACCGAGAACCGCTGGGAGAGTGCGGTAGATGCCGGGAGACGCCAGAAGTTCCAGCTGCTCTGTCCGGAGGCCAAGACAGCTTAAGAAGCCCTGGAACACAAATTTTATCCCCAACACCATCTGTCATCAACCTACTTAGAATTCGAGTTAGGGGGGTTCCTATAGGATATGCAGTTTTGACAAATTGGGCAGAAGTCTAAATTAACTTTCTTCCACCTGGATCCACAGCAGGCTGTCTCCACTTATCATATCGTCGACCCTTTTCTCACTGTTGAAATATCATGGAAGGCAGAGTCTATGAATTTCAGGAAAGGGGGAAATTATAAGAATGATGATGAGAGATGCATTAATATTTATATTCTTTTGCTAAGTTTTCCTTTGAAAATCTGGAAAATTGATGCTGTCTTTGACTCTGGGTGCCTGGACTCGGAGGTCTTCCTGCTCCGGGCAGTGGCCTGGATGGAGTCTGGAGTAGTTGAGAAAGCAGAGCCTCAGACCCGGAACCTGCTGCATCGTGGGTCCCCTGGGGACTCCTGGGGCACGGAAATGGACTGGCCGGGAGGGCGAGGCGGTCTGATGGCAGAGGGTGACGCTTAGGTCTTTGCTTTGGCTTTGGGCACAGGGCTTTGGATTTGAGTCACTTGCTGCCCAGATACCCTGGGTGAGGGAGGCCACCTTCAGCTTCCTCATCTTGGATGGATTTTCCCAGCAGCTGTGAAGGGGCAGAAGATGCCTGGCACGTAGCAGGTGCTGCACACGCGTTCCAGCGTCTTCCCCCACCCCTGTGGGGGGGCAGCTCATCGCTGGCTAATACCCCAGGGGTACTCAGGTTGCTGCCTGAGAGCTCTTTGAGGTGAATTTTGCAAAGACCTATGACAGGACATTTATAATGCGCGTTTACACTGCGGACTAATCGGCAGTATTTTATCACCAACTGCTGTCTCACAATAAGCCACCCAGAGGGGCTTAAAGCATACTTTCAAAAAAATTTTTTTAATTTGTTTGAAAGGCTGGGGGGGTGGGGGGAGGGAGAGAATGGGACAGATTTTTCCATCCATGGTTCACTTCTGAAATGTCCCCAGGAGCTGGGGCTGGGCCATGCTGAAGTCAGGAGCCAGAACTCCATCAAGTCCCTTGTGGGTGGCAGGAACCCAAATGCTGGAGCCATCACTGCTGCCTCCTGGGGTCTGTCTCAAGGGACTTGGAATCAGGGACGGAGCAGGGGCTCCAACCCAGGCGATCCAAGCAGCTGCACTGAGCGCCCACCCCTCTGCAACCAGCTGCTGTGAGAGGATTGTGGATCCACAGGCGGTTTTAAGAACGTGAGAGACTCCGTGCACCCTGCACCCGGCTCCCCCATGCAGACCAAAACAGCAGGGCCAGGCATTTGGCCCAGTGGTTAAGATACTGCTTGGGGCATCCGTATCCCATATCAGAGTGCCAGGGTTCAAGTCCCGTTTCCACTCTTGATTCCAGTTCCCTGCTAATGCAGGTGCCCAAGGGGAAACAGATGATGTCTCAAGTACTTAGGTCCCTGAGTTCCTGGCATCCAGGTGTGAGCTGGCCCAGCCTCTGCCACTGTGGGCAGCTGGGGAGTGAAACCACAGAGGGGAGCTGCCAGTCTGTCTCTCTTTCTGGCAAATAGATGATTTTTAAAACAACAACAACAATAATAATAATAGTACAAGATCACAGGATCACAAGCAGGATATGACAGTGGTATGACATACTGATCTTGTTCAGGTGTGCCTGTTTCACTCGTACTCATCCGTGTGTGTGTGTGTGTGTGTGTGTGAGAGAGAGAGAGAGAGAGAGAGAGAGAGAGAGAGAGAGGTGTTCCCTGCGATATTGTAGCACATGGCCTCTCACATCGGACAACACTTTGTAACATGACAATACTTTGTAAACCTGTTGTCCACACACAGGGTTTCTGGGGGGCCCTGGCTCAGTTTACTTCTCAACTATTCAAGAACAAAAGATCTGCTAAGCCAGTGGGCAAACAAGACTAAAGGCAGGGGAGCCGGTTCACCCAGCGGAGGCCTGGAACGGCTGCACCTGAGGGGACTTTCCACTCCTGCCTTGCCTCCCCCGCAGAACCCCAAGGGCAAGGCAGACCCACACTCTGTCTCCCTCTCCGCTTCTGTCTCCATCTGCCCCTTTGCACTCCTGCCCCCAATCCTTGTGGGTCTCTGCCCCTCTGCGCACCTTCGCTCAAAACCCCACCTCTGGGCACTGAGCACCCAGGGCCCCCAGGGCACGCACTGTGACCCTTCTGCATTCCCGCCTTCCGGACCCCCTGGCCAGTGGATAAGCCCCAGCCTGCGCGTGGAGCTCCCAGCCCCGGGCTCACCAGGGTGAAATCTGAGCTCCTTCCTAGGAGGGAGGGCTGGGAGAGGCCCAGGGAAAGCAGGGGAGGTGCAGGCTGCAGGCTGGAGGGCACGGCAGTCCCAGCGGAGATGGCGGACAGGCTGTACGCAGGCGGCGAGGACTACCAGAAGGAGTTCCACCCCGGGGACTACCTGCGCACCTACTACGCCTTCGACTCGGGGCCTGTGGCCGAGAACGAGATCCTGAAATTTAACCTGGAAAATCTCTTCCAAACTTTCTCCGCAGGTGAGTGGGGGAGGGAGAGGCTCCGGGTGCAGGCAAGGGGTCCCCTCCTTTGGGGCTCTGCCCCCCAAGGATGCGGCAAATGACCCAGCCTTCCAACGCACAGCAGCTGGGGTGGAGCCAGGCACTGACCTGGGAAGCCAAGAGCTGGACTGGAGTCACCATGGTTGGCCTCAGTAGCTTCCCCTGTAAAATGGGCTCACAGGGCCCTGGTGGGGGGAGGAGAGAGACAGGAGCACAAGGCCTGCTGTCACCTCCCATGTGGAGAGGCCTAACGCCAGACTCTGTGGCCTTTGGGATCTTAAATCTCTCAGAAAACTTGATGGAAGTCCATACACATACACACACGCACACACACTCATCCTGTTTTACCGAAATTGAAATTGGCCCCAAGCTGGGTCCCAAACTGGTCCCAAATTGGTCCCAAAGCCAAACCAGAGCTCCGTTTGCAAATCGTTATCCCCTGAGATCCTTGGTGCCCACCAGGGGTGACTGAGGCTCGGGGGGAGGGAGGGGCGGGCGAAGGGGTGAGCCATCTAGGACACACAGTCAGTAGCAACAAGAGCTAAAACTCAGGGATTTGGGGCTGCCAAGCACAGTTGGGCAGGGCGTGCACTGCACAACTCTAGAGGGTTGCTCAGGCACTCAGAGTCCTTACCTGATTCTAGAATCAGGGCCCAGATTGTGTGTCAAACAACACCACAGGAAGGCAAAGGAGAGGGAGCTTAGTGCTTCCAGAGAAATCTGAGACTTCCGGGAGTGGGCTGGTGGCCTGGGCTGCCAGGTGGCCTGGGCTGGCAGGTGGCCAGGCAGGTGTTGGTGGGTGTGGAGGGGAGGCAGTCATCAGAGGGCACTTTTCTAAATGCTTCTTTCCCTGTGAGTCCCCACGCTCGTTCCCAGCCGTTATCCACAGCTCTGCGGCTGGGTCACTTCCCCTGCTGTTTTAGACCCAGCCTCAGAGCCAGCTGCAATCCGCAGCGCTCCTCCCAGCAGGCCCCTGCCGGCTGGCCAGGGGCAGCACGGGGGGGGGGGGGGGGGGCCCCTCTTCCAGGCCAGCTCTCTGCTGTGGCCAGGGAGTGCAGTGGAGGATGGCCCATGTGCTTGGGCCCTGCACACCATGGGAGACCAGGATAAGCACCTGGCTCCTGGCTCCTGCCATCGGATCAGCGCGGTGCGGATCAACGCGGTGCGCCGGCCGCGGCGGCCATTGGAGGGTGAACCAACGGCAAAGGAAGACCTTTCTGTCTGTCTCTCTCTCTCTCACTGTCCACTCTGCCTGTCTAACAAATATAACTAAAAAAAGATCAGATTTAAAGACATACTGCAGGGTAGTTATCATCAAAATAGCCTGTTACTACCACAAAAAATAGACATGCACGCCCAATGGGAATAGAAGAGAATCCTCAGAAATTAAGCCTCTGCATCTACAACCAAGTGATCTTTTGACAGGTAGCTAAAATCAATCCCTGAAGAAAGGACAGTCTACTCCACAAATGGTGCTAGGAAAACTGGGATC